AATGTGTATTCAACTTGTAACAAAACCAAGACAAACAGGCTTTCTATTATGTAGTAAACAGGAAATGTAGACTAGGTCGCAGCTACACTTTTACTCGCCAGACTTTTTTAAAAGGGCGGGTGAGTTTTTACATGCATGAAAGCTTTGATCTATTGTCTATGTGAAGGCGTTTTTTTGATGTATTTAAAAAGACAAAAACTGAAACTGGTAAATTATTATGATCTTCAGATATTTATTTTTAAATATTTTCTTTTTAAACATGATCCCTGCATAAATTATATATTACAATCAAATTGTACAATTTTTGTGTATTTTCTCCAAATGGAATCAATTAGTCATGTAGTCTATTTTTTTTTTGTATAAACAAATATGAAGTGTAAACATCTTGTTTACAAATATAGGTATATCTCATTGGAAGCAAAACAGTTGCATCTTATGTTCAATATTGGTCTTATGCGGCATTAACAACTGTAAAATGCATCATTTACACAAAATTTAATGTCCTGCTGCTCAACAACTGGCAAAAAAAATTTACTGGTATATTATAATAAACTGTTTAACATTAGATTTATAAAACTATTTATTTTAGACAATGTTAAAATACTGATAAATTCTGAGCGTTTTTGTATGTGGCCCATATAAACATAAATTTGAACTTTGATATCACAAATACAACCACCACAGTAAATTTCCAAGTGGTGAATTTTAAATACAAACCCACTGCGTCCAAGATTGAGAATGCTTTGTTTGTAATGTGTTTTTAACATGGTTAGAATTGAGAGATGGAAGTGCCATATGGACTCTATAGAGTCAACTTGTGCAAATAAAGCGTTTTATTTCTTTGTATCTCATTGTGTTCTATCTGATATTGCCCTAGCATGCTTATAAAGACCATCTACCGGTAGTAAACCTCAAATATTTTTGCCGACAGCTTAAATGCTTAACGTACAGTACCATATATTTATGAAAGATTAATCTTACTGGGGGTATCTAGAAATATTACATATTCATAATTGTTTACATGATCAGATACTGGAAGACAGCTTCTATCCAACAGGTAGCCGACTCAATCATGTTTTACAATAATTGTCATTACAAGCTATTTGCCATAATTATGCTTATGGTATATCCCAAATGTACACTGACTATAGTCTTGCACTTCAATGCTAATAGACCATTTTTCGTTCACTGCGAGATGCACGAAGTTTTGCATGAAATGGAACCTAAAAACAAAGGTCATAGCATCGTACTGGCGACAACGCCTGGGATTCAACAAACTTGAAAGTATTTTGGGGATATTTCCACACTTAATGTGTTCACCACTGAGGGCATGATTAAGATTCGTGTCGAGCGTTGAGGAAGCAAATGTGTTGTCGAGCATATATGTTCAGACCGAGATCAAGTTTTTTTCGCCACAGCTGACTCGGGCCGACTGTTCACACACAAGTTTAAGTGCCGAGATCTCTAACGTGAACGCCACTTCTGATTCAATCCATTTAACTAAAATGTTGTTAGAATACAAAATGAAGCATTAGAAGCTGAAAATGCTTAATTAGTATTCAGATAATGTCAGATACTCAACTACATACAGTATGCAACTGTAAAGACTAAAACAATGCACAAAAATTAGGCTGAAAATTAATTATTAAAAACTAAATTAAATCAGATATTCATCTATACAACAAACGCATACAAAGTTTTTTTTTTTCTGCATTTGGCCTTACCACTACAAAGATACAAACAACTGAAACAGATAATAAAAATGCACAGATTTATGGAAATAAAAATTATCAGGCATGCAACTACAAAAATAGCATTCATGTGCCAAGTTTGATTCTAATTCAGCAAACTATTACTAGGATATCAACAAATCATGAAAGCAGCAAGTAAATTAGCTAATTAACATATGCAGATTACCTATTTCTAAAGTCATGTTAGACACTTAACTGCTCAAAAAGTATGCATTTACAAAGAGAACACAACACAACATGCTGAATGTAGTTGTTATTTATGTGCAAATTACCCAGTTAGCCTATGCAGATTTATTACAGTAGTGTGAGACAATTAACTATAACTATATGTATGCATGTATTAAGTTTCATTCTATCTTTGAAAACCTCTGTTAGGATTACCAAAAAACATACTGTAAACAATTAATAAGCAACTTAGCTAATTAATATACACAGATTTTTCACAAAATTTAATCAAATGCAACTATAAATATCGCCACTGCTATTTCAAATTGCTATTTTTAAAGTCTGCAAGAAAGCATTACTCTAAAGAACAGCAGCTGCCATCCCATCAGCCCTTGGATCAGAACCAGCCCATAATACTTTACAATCATCACAAACAAATAATTGGTCACTTGGATTCCTGCCAGCTGACCACCAGGCTCCTTTTGTAATGATCTGTCCTCTGCCGAAAACTGATCTGTTTAAACCAGTTATTGGGCCGTCAATTAAATGTCCCATGTTTACTAACTCGAGAACTGTTTTCGAGGCAATCCCGTGCTCCAGTGAAATGGTTGAACTGATTCCAGTATGCCCAGGTCCGATACAGAAACGTGGCTGGTCAAGTGCTTCTTGTGGATTCATGCCAAATTCTACCATGTTTAGCAGTACCTGAAGCAAAGTGTATACATAGTTGTCTTTATAAATAGTGGCTGCATGAATCCTCCGATTATACCAATGTTGGCTAATAACTCACCTGTACATGTCCTTGTGGCTGCATGAATCCTCCGATTATACCAACGTTGGCTAATAACTCACCTGTACATGTCCTTGTGGCTGCATGAATCCCCCCTACACCAATGATGTCTAATAACTCACCTGTACATGTCCTTGAGGCTGCATGAATCCTCCCATTACACCAAAGTTGCCTAATAACTCACCTGTACATGTCCTTGTGGCTGCATGAATTCTCCATTACACCAAAGTTGCATAATAACTCACCTGTACATGTCCTTGTGGCTGCATGAATCCTCCCATTACACCAAAGTTGGCTAATAACTCTCCGGTCTTGGCTGAAGTGGCCATAGCAGGAATAATAGTGTGAAATGGTCTCTTATTTGGAGCAACAACATTTGGATGATCGGGTTGCAAGGTAAAGTTGGCACCACGGTTCTGTAATATATAAAAGGTAATAATTAAAAACAACAAGAGTGTTTTTTAGCTTGTCTTCAACATAGCTTAACAAATGTTAGTAACTTATTTATAATTCAGACACCTGTGACTATTTTGTTCTTGGAGTTATATTTTACATATCTGCAAAGTTGGAATGCAGGTTGTATTATTATTAAAGTTGTATTATTCGTTAAACTGAGTTGAATTTTTACCTTTAATTTTAATTTTCAAGAACTGAGCTGAGAACTGAAGTCACTATAACACTTAGAGTCTAAGTTGTTTTTTTTCGCTGCACTACCTAAAATCTTACCATGCAGTTTCAAATCATGTTTCAGAACACATGGAACACAACAAGGAAGTATGAAATGTTACACATACAAAGTTCATTTGTACACAGTGGAAACATAAATCCAGAAGTAATAGGCGTAAATGTACAGGTACAGACTCTGATTAAAAAAAAGGCTATAGGAATGCTTTAGAAAAAATAGTGATTTATTGAAAAGGCTGTACTCCAATCATTGGTCAAACAGTCCATATGATTAGAACACATATAACACACTAAGATGCTGAGAACACAATCACATCTGAATCTGCTGAAATTCTTGGCTATTGGCAAGATGCTTCTTATCTGGATATCTTGCAAATATTGCAATTATTGCATTTCATATATGACACATACAACTAAGACTACAAACTAAATGCATTCCAGAATACCACTTTTACACACCTGCAATGTAAATCCACATCCAGATGGAACCAATCCAGTACCAAATCCCATATAGTTGCTGACTATAAAGGAGCAGGCATTACCGTTGCCGTCGACAACACTGAAATATACTGTGTCGCTACTACTATACGGAGAACCTCGAGTTGCATCTGTAATAGCTCTAAAATCAAATATATGTTATTCGTTACAATTTAACGTTATAAATTTATAAAACAGCACCAATTATAAAGTTGGTAATAATGTTCTGTGACTGGTAAAACATAGGTCATGTGGCAAATGTTGTGTGAACTATGGTGATAGACACCATGTACTTGTACAGCCTACTTCTAATTTAGGCTATGCAATAATAGGGTGCCTGGGTAGAGTACAGATTTCAATGTGTTCCCTTCTATCAGGAAAGTTGTTCATTCATTCTTCTTAGCTGATCACTCTATAAACTGGAATTATTTCTGTTGAAACAACCAATCAAGCAGTATTGGGTATAGGGTAATGGTTTTCTATGCA